TTAATTACTAAAACGTATGTATAAGAAAACAACTAATTAAAATTGACATATTAAATTTTTAATGAATTGCATAAACGTTATAAGTAGACATTAAAATCAAATTTTACTAGCCTCCTTAGGCTCAAAAGTTTGTACTAATTCATTCAATTCCAGTTTGCAAGCGTAATCCCATTTTATTGAAATTATTGCTAAGTCCACGAGGCTACTTTGTACTTTACAACATACCCCCCTACCCCCTTATAAAATTGTAAGTGTCCCCCCCCCCCCCCCGCTCCCGGGAAAAAAAAGTCTGGGGAAAAAACACTGAAAAAAAAGGTCTTGTAGTGTTACGCTCTCCCATTTGGAAATCCAAATACCAAAATTTAATTCAAGGGAAATAACTTTCACAAGAACGGCTAAATTAACCAAGTGTTACTAAGACATGCGTGAAAAACACAATTAAAAGCTCTAAATTTCTTTACATAATAATTATAATAAATCTTTTGTATTAGCTATGCAACCTTGTAAAAACAAAATATTTTACTTATTGAATTCTTAACTGTATGCTTTGTTTGAAAGACTAAAACTGTTAGCTTTATTTTAACCTACTTCTATTAAATTTTGATGACATACTCTTGCCTTCATGTTTCATTTTATACAGAAGTAAAATTTTGGATCCCATAAATAAAGGGACGTCATTAAAAGATCAATCACGGGTAATTGTTTTAGACTTGCTAGAATTATTGTTTAAATATGTGAAAAAATTATAATTTGAAAAAACAAAGTTTACAGTTAGTTGCAAATTCCATCCTATTTGATATTATATATTAATACTTTAAGAGTGGTAATATAGACTCCTAAAAAAATAAAGATTTCTCTACTAGAGAACGCCTACTTTTCTTTGTAGTGTGTTCCGTACTGAAATGAAATTATCTAACTTATCTAAGGGGTCGTCGTGGTCGAGTCGGTAAAGCTCATGGTTGCTAAACCGAAAAGTCTCGAGTTCGAACCCTCGGGCAGATGAGGCTCGTTAGCTGGGGACAGCCACTCTTCTAGGAGAGACAACTCCAAAATTAAACAACTGCTGCCTTGTAGTTTGTTCTTGGTTGGACAAAGGCTATGGAAGCAAATCCAAAAAGAAAAGCAGGCTGAAATCGGAGTCAATGGCCTCAAAGGCGCATAACCAGTTGACACGTAACGCTTAATTGTGTTGGAGGCGTGGTCGAGTCGGCAAAAAGCTCATGGTTGATAAATTCGAACAAAGTCTCGAGTTCAAAACCCACTGGCAGATAAATCTCGATCACCCTTCAACACTAATAATTAAGAACGAAGAAGAAGAAGAAAAAGATCTAACTTACGATAAACTCGACTACTCGATATACTCTACAACATTCACAACACATATCAAATATCGATACCGAAACATTACTAGACTCGATGCTCCAGAACTACGACACCACCTCGTTGAACTTCACCAATTTATACAAGCGGTACTCATTATCAACAACGATTTCACTGGACCTACTACTACACTTTAACAATCAATATAATTCGATACCTTAATACCACAAGAATCAATACTCCCGAACTCCCGAACTACGATACTTCATCGCCTGCATTCTCACTTCTCTATTACCAATCAGATTCCACTAGATCTTAAACTACAAAACAGCCGAATAAAAATTATGACACCTTAACACTTCGATACTTTAGATCTAAGAAACCATATCAGCAACAGCCTTCCGCCGTTACTCCCAAATCTAAACGTTTCATCAAAATTTACTTAACAAGTACAATGCTTTGAACATCCCGTCAATACAAAACGTTATACACCAGAACAGATTTCTTATTCAAAGTCAGAGAAAACGAGACTTACAAGCCCTGTTAAAATTAGATAACCTTTTGAAATGTTCGAAATTTGAATAACGAACTTATTTAATCGTTTTCTACATCAATTATGTGACACCAAATTAAAAAGGCAATGTGACCTTTCCAAATTAGGGAGGTGGGGTTGCATTTTCACCATCACGAATAAATATAGGCCTATAGAGACCTAATTTTGGGGTGGGGTGCAAAATTAATAATTTGTCCTGGGTGCCTTGATAAAAGTTATTAATTATTGGGTACTTCTAGGAGAGACAACTCCAAAAATCAAACAACTGCTGCCTTGTAGTTAGTCCTTGGTTGGACAAAGGCTATAAAAGCAAATCCAAAAAGAAAAGCAGGCTGATATCGTAGTCAATGGCCTCAATGGCGCATAACCATTTGACACGTATCCTTAATTGTGTTGGAGGGGGATCCCTTCCAATACTAAAATTAAGAACGAAGAAGAAGAAGAAGATTAGGTACTTTTTGATAATAGTGATTAAACCTTTTGCGCCCCCTTAGAGATGGCGCCCTAGGCGACCGCCTAGTTCTCCTTATAGGTAGCGCCGGCCCTGCTAGGGTCTCAATTTAATCTTACAGCGTTTCTATAATTGGAAACTTTATATTGCATCAATAAGAATTTTTAAAATTAGATTTTAAAATATTTTATCTTTTAACTATTATGGTAGTAGATATTTTATATTTAAAAAAAAGTTATCTTTTAGATTTTCTATGAGTGGGGTGTGTACATAGTAATTTTTAAAAATTAAAGTTATCTTTTAGATTTTCTATGAGTGGGGTGTGTACATAGTAATTTTAAAAAAATTAACAAGGGGAAATGTTTTAATTAAATGTGTACAGTTATTTTAATTGCAAAAATGTATATTCGCATTTTCTATGAGTAAAAGTTTATATTTTATGTTTTAATACTTCTTTCTGTGAGAAAAAAAATGTATTAACCCTAAAAGTAATTAAGTAGAAGAAAAGTAAAAATTCCTCTTTAGACCTAGTGATCAGTCGGGAAGATGAAGTAGAGTTCATATGTTTCTTGACCTCGGCATATGAAGGGAAGGTGTGGTCAGAATTTTGACCAGCCGGCTTTACTTTCCCTACCGTAAGTTAGGTACCCATCAGAGCTGAGTGTACTAAAAGACGTTCTACTAGCTTGGACCCGGAACTAGAGTGATTCCATTTTATCAGTTAAAATGACGAAAAAAAAATTTTAAATTAAATTTTATAATTTAGATATGAGTAGAAAGTTTAAACTTCATTATTTTAGGTATCTTAATTAGCTTATGAATTATATATAAGTAGAAAGGTTACATCCCCTGATTGGCATTATCTGAATTAGTAATTTAAAAGTTGAAGCTTTAGAGTTGTCAGTGCCACATCACAGTGGGAAAATCCTAAAAATTAGATTTAAGTGAAATCCATCTTTAGATGCAACAAACAGATTGTCTAATCTTTAAAATGAAATCCCTCTAAAGTATTAAATTTTATTAAACTAAATCCGTAATCTGCACGCATTTTAGTGTTCTATGGCTCTAATGCTACAAACAGAAAGTGCGGCCATTTTTTTTTTTTTACTTCCGAGATTTTTTCGTTCTTTTATTTTGTATTTTATTTTTTTCGTAACATTTTAAATTCACACATTAGTTTTAGGAGCTCAGCCTGAACTAAGGTAACATCTCAAGGAATAGATCAAACCTAACCTATTTAAATAGGTAAATAATATTCATAAAAACTAAAACGAAATATTACCATAAAACGCGCCAAAATGTCGGCCATTGTTTGGTCTAAATCACGAACCACGGTAAACAATATTTTTAAAAAACAATTGGGTCATTTTGATTCCAAAAAAAAAAAATGTTTTATTTAAATGTCAGTTTACCGAATAATAAAATTTTTATAAACATTGTTATTTTGATTCGAGCTATATAGGAATTATCCGGATATCAAGCGTTAAACTACTCAGTAAAATTTTTCATAGAGGATATATTTTAACTCTTGTTTACCTTTTTCCCAATATTTTCACCCAAAGATACCAGTGCCTACACAATTTTTGTTTGTGTAAATTCAAATGCGAAAATTATATAAAAATAAACATTTTCAGGGATAAACTATCACAAACTATATACAAGACTTACTAAGGGGAAATTTTCCAGATCCAGGAAGGAATTCACTTGATGTTACAGGGTATATCAAATCTTGCTGTTACGGTGTATAATAATCATATCTGCATGCATGGTTTCTTTGGCTTTGGTAAATACCGTGGGATTCTAAACAAATTTTAAAATATTATGAGTTTCCTTACGGAATTTAGAATATAGGCCAATTTTCCAGTTGTTTTTTTCTCTTCAAAGAACTACTTCTTTCATGGCTTCAGTGAACGCTTACGTCATACGGGAATTTCCGAGATGACTTTGCATAAAAATAAGTTAAAAAAAATTCATAAAAAACGTTTTAATATCAAGCTTTTATGTAATAATGCACTAAAAAGTAGAAAATAAATTATAGACTACTATTTAAATAACTATAAAGAAAAGCGGGGGTCACTTTAGTATCTATTGGATACCTTTACTAATGTTAAGGAAGACACCCACGCTTTTCTTTATAGTTATTTAAATAGTAGTCTATAATTTATTTTCTACTTTTTGGTGCATTATTACATAAAAGCTTGTTATTAAAACGTATTTTATGAATTTTTTTTCTCTACTTGACATGTTTTTTTTTACAATAGAGTTACATGACTAAAAACCATTGCGCGCCTACTGAACGTGATGGCGCAGCCATTGAACCTGATGGCGCAGCTATTGAACGTGATGACTCGTGTGGTGCGGTTCGCTAGAAATGCCTACTAATTCGGTCAAAATTTTAATTAATTCATAAAAAATTAATTAGGCATCCAATTAAGTCAAATTTAATTTTAGATTGCATTGTCTTCATGTCTTGACCCACGTGCCAAATGTGAATCGTATCGGTCAAGTAGAAGTGTCCGAATTTTCGCTCCGGCGTTTCGATCTAGATTGACGACAGACAGAGAAATAAAAGCTTGTAAAAATAAATAATAAATTCGAATTCTTTCTTTGTTTTATTTAATAAATTTTTTAATCAAAACTTTCCGTAAGTTACAGGAACAATAACAGCATTGAATTGTATGGAGCCCCTGACGTCCCAGCGTTCACAAATAAATGTAGTCTTGGTCCGTGTACCGAGTGTAAGAGTGTTTTCATGTTTCTGGTAGTAGTCGTAATCTGGTTGTCAGTTTTCATCCTCTTCCTGAGAAAGTTGTAAACAAAGTTGTTGGGTGTTTATAAATAAAGAGATGCTCAAAAAAGTACAAACTCTATACAGAGAAACATAATATCTTAAACACAACGCACAGAAATATAACATTAAACCCAACGCACAGAAATATAACATTAAACACAACGCACAGAAATATAACTTTAAACACAACGCACAGAAATATAACATTAAAAACAGCGTACAAAAATATAGCACATTAAACACAACACATATAAATATACCATTTTAAACACAACACACAGAAATATTATAAAGTAAACACAAAATATAAAAAACACTGCGCACAGAAAATTAAACAAAACACCAGCAGGTATAATTTTTTAAACACTACACATAAAAATGTACCACATTAAACACAAAAACACGGAAACAACATGTTAAACACAACACACGGAAGCACTACACACACCAACTTCAACACACATAAACTACACACATGACCATTACACTAAACACAAAATCATTACATTACACACATATACTTTACACAAAACCATTACACTAAACACATAAACTACACACATAACCATTACACTACACACATAAACTACACACAAAATCATTTCACTACACACATAAACTACACACATAACCATTACACTACACACAAAATCATTTCACTACACACATATACTACACAAAAAACCATTACACTACACACATAAACTACACACAAAACCATTACACTACACACACAATCATTACACTACATACAAAACCATTACACTACACACATAACCATTACACTACACAAAACCATTACATTACACACAAAACCATTACATTACACAAAACCATTACATTACACACATAAACTACACACAAAACCATTACACTACACAAAACCATTACACTACACACATTAACTACACACATAACCATTACACTACACACACCATACATAGAAACCGAGAGAAAAAAAACCAACAAAGAAGAAACCAAGTCACCTGTTCAATGGGGATAGACAGCCTCACTTTCTTCCCCTTCGACGACAACGGCAATCCTCTACCGTCCCTCTTGACCAGGCTACTTGTTAAAGGTTTCTTTTCCTTGGGTTTTGTCTCATCGTCTACGCTAGAATCAAAACTGTCCACACTGGAACCAATGTTAAGTTTTGGAGTCGTCTCGACGGACGGCCTTGGCAGTAGCGTAACTGATGGTTTTGGAGTCAGGGTGGCTGATGGTGTAGAAGTTAGCGTACCCGACTGTTTTGGGGAGAGGATCATCGATGGTTTTGAAGAAATCGATTTCTCAGACGGCGTAGTGGAAAGTACTAAATTCGACGACTCCGATCGCTTGACGTTTTCCGTGTCTCCTAGGGAGCCTCTCGATGACGCGGCAGTCGGAGTAATCTCTTCTTCGGCGATGGGACTTTCGGTATTGTGGGGTTCGACCCCCGACGGACCGTCACCCAATGCGGGGTAGCTTTCCTCAACCAGCTCGATCGCAGATTCTTCGTCGTCGTTGATAGAAGTCTCCTCCACGCGAGATCCAATGTACTGTTTTTCTAACATCTCCACTGGCTCCTTGTCGAAAGATTCTAATCGAACCAGCGGTTCCGATTCGATTAATTTTTTATTTTCTACAATAAAATACTGTCGTATACTCGACAGCAAGTGGTTATCCGATGGTTGTCTGTTCTCCACTTTGCCAGCACCAACATCAGAGATACTGGCGTCAACATCTTCTGAACTTACGTTTCTTTTCAAAACGCTGGAGATTTCAATATCCGACTCGTCCTTGAGCTCGCTGGTTGTTGTTTTTCTTTTGGGTTTGGATCGATTGAAGATCGCTCTCACGACGAAGACTGTTAAGATGAGGGTCAGGAGAAGACCGATGATGGTGAGGACGATGAGGTAGAAGAGGAAATGCTCGTCGACACAGCGGCTGGGTAGTTGGTTTATTTTGATGGCGTCGCAAGGGTGGCACCGCGTCAGGGTGTGTTCGCGGCTGTCGATGAAGGTGTCCGGGGGGCAGGGTCTACAGGACTCCCCGTTGTTGACGTACTCATTGTAGTCGCAGAGTACGATGCCTTTGCTAGACTTGGTTCCGTTCGCATCTGAGAGTGAGAGGTGTGTCAAGATATACATAGGAGATGTATGTGAAGGTTTACTTAGAAGATGTATGTGAAGATATACATGGGAGATGTATGTGAAGATATACATGGGAGATGTATGTAAAGATATTTAGAGAAATGTATGTAAGGATTTACATATACATAGGAGATGTATGTGAAGATATACATAGAAGATGTATGTGAAGATATACATGGGAAATGTATGTGAAGATATAGATAGGCGATGTATGTGAAGATATACATGGGAAATGTATGTAAGGATTTTCATATACATAGGAGGTGTATGTGAAGATATAGATAGGCGATATATGCGAAGATATACATAGAAGATGTATGTGAAGATATACATAGGAAATGTATGTGAAGATATAGATAGTAGATGTATGTAAAGATATTTAGAGAAATGTATGTAAGGATTTACATATACATAGGAGATGTATGTGAAGATATAGATAGGCGATGTATGCAAAGATATACATAGAAGATGTATGTGAAGATATACATGAGAGATGTATGTGAAGATATAGATAGGCGATGTATGCAAAGATATACATAGAAGATGTATGTGAAGATATACATGAGAGATGTATGTGAAGATATAGATAGGCGATGTATGCAAAGATATACATAGAAGATGTATGTGAAGATATACATGGGAGATGTATGTGAAGATATATAGAGTAGAGGTATGTAAATATATATACAGGAGATGTATGTGAAGATATACATAGACGATGAATGTGAAGATATATAGAGGTGATGTATGTATATGTCAGAGAGTATGTTTGTGAGGGTATACAGAGAAGTATGTGAAGATAGAGATACAGAGGAGATGTATGTGATGATATACAGTAGAGACTTATGTCAAGGTACATACGTTTGAATGAATACAAAGAAGACAATAATACGTGCGAGTGAGGAGTTTTGATAGCACATATACGACTGTGGAACTTATGTTGTGGAAAGCAGGACAAACACCCACAAACATACACACAGGCATGCAGACAGACAAGCGGACGGACTGACCGACAAACAGACATGCACAGATTCGGCACAGAAGATAAACTTAACAGACAAATTAAACACACTAGTTATACCAGACAAACCTACCACGCAGATTGATCGAGAGACAAAACTATCGCTACAAAAAACTATCGCTACCAAAAACTATCGCTGCAAAAAAACTATCGCTACAAAAAGCTATCGCTACAAAAAAAAACTATCGCTACAAAAAACTATCGCTACAAAAAACTATCGCTACAAAAAACTATCGCTACAAAAAAACTATCGCTACAAAAAACTATCGCTACAAAAAACTATCGCCACAAAAAACTATGGCTACCAAAACTTACAAACAACCACGCCTAGACCTTCTATCTTCCTACTCATCTCCTCACACTTCGAGCAGTTGAGCTCCAAACAGCAGGCGTCACTCCCAACCCCATGACAGTTCAGCGCCTCCAGTTTCTCAATACTCTCCGGCGTACACGTCTTCGAAAACGCGCACTTGGTGGTGATATCCTTTCGGTAATACCCCGGTGCGCATTGCACCGCCGCATCGTGCGTGGCGTTGCACTCGGTGTAAGAATTCCACTCCGTCTTTGGTAGATCCAACACACTACAAGGCTTACACGACAAGTTCGTGTGTTTTGGATGCGGCATGTATGTCCCTTCTGGGCAGATACTACACCTCCCGTTGCTGAGAAGAAATTGCCCACGCTCGCAATGCGACGCGCAGATATATTTTCCAAGTCTCCAAGGGACGACCACCTTTCCCGTTTCAGGACAACATACCGTGTCGGTGTATTCCCCACAAGGTACGGGTTTAAAATCAGACTGTGTGAAGTTTGAACACGTCGAACACGGTAGACAAGTCCAGTTTTTCTCGTTATGTGGTATCGCATACATCCCATCCCCGCATATCTTACCGTTCGTACATTCTGGTACAGTCTCTGTCGTCTGCGAGCAGTTAAAACACGTGGTCAGCCTGTGGTTGGTGTCCAGTATATAGGTCCCCACTGGACAGGGCGAGCAGTTATTAGGTGTATGAAGGTACTGCCCAGCCGCACATCGCATCAGAGGCGTCTCCTCCTCTGATAAGCCGACCCCTAAGAAGATGACTAAAGGGAATGTGTAATCTAGTATACTACTCCGCCTCGTCAACACCGTGTTCAAACCGCGTAGATAATATATCTAGAGAAAAGGAAAGAAAAGAATAACGGTAAGCAACATACATGTTCATTTTTTTAATTATAAAAACATAATATTTTTTTTCATGTAAAATAAACATCGTAAACATTCGCAAAATAGATTGTTTAAAGAATACTATTTTGCAAAATGTTTTTTTACAGCACGACTATCAGTAAGTTGTGGGATTGTGTGGCCTAGTAGTAAAGCGCTAGACTGCTAAACCGAAAGTCTGGAGTTCCAATCCGGATTCAAGGCAGTGGAACGTCCCTGAGTCCACTCAGCTCAGATGGGTACCTAACTCAAGTTAGGGAAAGTAAAAGCGGTTGGGCATAGTGCTGACTATATTATACCTTCATATGCCGAGGTCAAGAAACATGTAAACTCTACTTTATCTGCCTATTTGATCGCTAGGTCTAAAGAGGAATAATTACCTTTTTATTATCATAAATCTACCCTAAAGTCCCTAACCTAAACTCTAACACATAACTCACACTAACACTCCTCTTAATCAAATCAACATGGAAACTGTATATCCCTGCCATATGAAATATATTTTCTTCTAATGTCCTGCTCATGTTGGCAGTATAAAACAAAATTAAACAAAAAAAGTATCAAAGTTAAAGTTAGAGTAACGAGTCTAGCGAGAAAATAAGACTCGAATACGTTCTATCGACGTCATAGCAAATCTCCTCCCCCCCCCCCCCCCCCCAGACACACACTCCTTTCTTTTTTTTTCTTTTTATACAGTCCAAAAAGTTGTTTAAATTCTGATAAACAATTCAACCTAATGGTCACGATAACGGTTTCAAAAGTAACGGAAAAACGACACGACGATACATCCATTTCGGATAATGGAGATATACAAGCATTTAAAGATAAGGCATGTGCATGGTTGGACGGTAGAGTTGACGCCAGCTAACCAAAAGCCTGGAGTTCGTATCCCAGACTCGAGTCCTAACCACACCCACCCAGTTCCGGATACCTGGGTAAATTAGAGAACTGAATGCGATTGAGCATAGAACTAAGTACATCATCCCTTAATCCGAATAGTTCAAACACAAATGAACTCTACTTCATCTGCCCTATTGAACACCAGGTAAAACAGGGTAACTTTACGTATCATTTAAAATCTTACAGGTTGAAGTTCAAGTATTAATTTAGTGGCTGTATCTGATAGATATGAACAGCGTTTGTCTATAATAATAAGCTTACCATTTCACACGTACTGTCTGGAGACTCAGGGTAGACAGTCAATACAAACTAGATTTAGATCAGACATTCCAGTGGTGTCTTTATACAGGTGCGCATGTTGGTGCTAGAAGTTACCTCATGTGATTACTGACCATAACTGTATATCACTGACCATAGCGACCTACTCCAAAAGAAAAAGGTGTGTTAACAGATTCGTAGGACGAGGATATGTTAAACATTGCTTAGATTTGTCTAAGGTCTAGACAAGTAAACAATGTTGAGTTTTTTCTTTAGAAAAATGTAGCACTAGTGTCAAATGGTGCCGGTTGATGCGGCATTGCTGTAGGCGATTTGTATAGAGTTTATAAACTAAACGCACAAAAAGCAATACAGTAGTGTGGGTGACGGGGGGGGGGGGGGGGGGTCGGTAGTAAGGTCGACTGCAAGGGATGACATCTTAGTGAATTATTTACTTATTTATTTTTACTAAGGAATTCAACTTTCTCCAGTTAATATAAATAGTTATTCGCCTCGTCCATCTTTAGGCAAAAAGTGATGATGTACATATACATATATACATATATATATATATATATATATATATATATATATATATATATATATATATATATATATATATATATATATATATATATATTGCTAGTGTCACAAACTTTATCCCTATCCATAACCCTACCTTTATTAAATTTGCTAAAACTATCCCTAATCGACAATGTGTGGCTAGCCCTAAATTATTATTTTGTTGCTGGTTAAGTATCAGACCAGTACTAGTGGAGAAATTCGTCTTCTCATTCAAAACCAAGACCCACTTTTTTATTCTTCAGATTAATGTATTTTGTAATGTTGTTGGGCTGCAACAATCTGCCTCTCCTGGACTGAATAAAATGCATTTTCCTGAAAAACGTAAGTGTAAGAGGGATTGCGTAGGACGAGCTTTTTTTAGTAAACGGAAATTTCCAAAATTTAGCTAGTGACCCCAATAAATCTGCCAGGAGTTCGAGGCTACGTAACTTATCACCCCACTGGCTGCTTTTGTTTTTAGTTTTAGCGTGGGAAGGGCTAGTCAGTTGTGCCAAAGTTGTTGTGGCATGAGAGTGGTGCCCAGCCAGTGGTGCCCAGTTAGTGCTGCCCAGTTATTTCTGCCCAGTTAGTGCTGCCCAGTTAGTGGTACTATTCAGCTGATGGTTATCAAGTGGTGCATGTTTTTATTCTATATCCCAACGCTCTGATGTCTCAGGACAACATTAGTTTACACTGGATGTGTTTTCCTGTCTTGTAAGGCTGAAGGTAATGTTCACATTTTATTTCCTGAATCGTCGTTTAGATAAACTGCTAAAATAATACATTGGTTTTTTCTCCCCCGAAGACCAGATTTGTTCCTTATACTAGAAATGTGCAATTTTAGCGGATAGGTCACAATAAAAGTCTGTTGCATGTATGTTAACATCGAACCAGCCCTCCCCCACAACACATTCACACACTCATAAACATACACTCAAATACAAACGACAGTGTTAAAATATTGCAGCTTTTACTAATATTTATTTTAGATTGTGTTACTTAGGTACAGACCATAATGCAACACATTTAGTCTACATCGAAGATGATGCGTATTGATATTTTACTGCTGTTTTTGGTTGTTATGCAATTAAATTAGTGACGGTCAGATTGTTTAAGTACTATTAAATAGGCTGGACAAAGTACATTTTACAAGCTTTAATTGTGGTCATTATACCTACATGCAATTTTACAAGTTAAACTACTACAAGTAAATAATTATGAATACATAACAATGATTATATATATATATATATATATATATATATATATATATATATATATATATATATATATATATATATAGGCTTGGCTTTATCCATCCATATTTCTACTTCTTTTTAGGCCTACTGCTTTACGTAGTCTTGTGCAGAATCTAAATCTTAGCTACACTGTTTGTTTCATCTATGACACAATGCGTCTCTCGACTCCTCCCATTCACTAGACTCTCCACCTGACGCACGTAGGCCTGAAACAGACAAGCCATTATTTACAAGCCTTATCTCAATTGCACTGTGTAAGCAATAACAATATCACGTGATCTGAGTGACGTCACAAGGTCATGAAAAAATAGCAGACGTGTTACTGGTGTGTTGTGTTTTTGCTTGCTTGAAAAAAACTAGTCTGTAGGCCTACTGGCTATTTTTACATTACACTGATTAATGTATTGTTGCTGTTACTAGTGTGTTGTGTTTATTATTACTGTTTTAAATAGATGTGGATGTACTTGTAGTTACCGCAGTAGTTAGAAGAAGTTAATCGTTCGAATAGAAGTAGTACCATGATAAGCGAATGAATGGACTGTCTTGAAACTAGGTCAAGGCTCTGCTAGTTCTTTTTATAGAAATGGCGTAATATTTCCTGGATATTATAAAATTATTTCTGCTCATCGAAGACCAACTCAGCATTTAATGTGAAGATTGATCTCTTAAATCTTGATCACATTTAGTACCGTCACATAGATGGACAGAGGGTGACACCCAACCTAATAACACTACTGTTTACGTTATTCAATTATTATTATTTAAAGTTCATATTAAAATTAAAGCGAATTCTGGTAAGGACAAATGAGTATGCCATCTTTTTTTTAATTCTTTGTTCAGAGGTAAATAAAAACAGGTTATCCAAGGAGCAGATGAAGTAGAGTTCATCTGTGCCACTGACCTCGGCATACAAAAGGATATTGTGGTCAGCACTTTGCCTAGCCGCCATTGTTTCTGAAAAATATACATATACATACATATATATATATATATATATATATATATATATATATATATATATATATATATATATATATATATATATATATATATATATATATATATATATATATATATATATATGTGTGTGTGTGTGTGTGTGTATACATATATACACACACGTAAACTTGCCTCGTGGTTAAAATTTTGTTTTACTTGCATACACAAAATATTTTTATCCACAGCCGAAGTAGACGTTGAATGTTCTAGGTTGATCAAGTTGCTGGTTAACGGATAAAACAATGTGTTAAAGTCTGATCAACTCAAACTGCTGAGGACCAAAAATAATAATCTCCAGTTGACCGGAAGAAACAAACTGTTGGGACCGGAAGTAAAAAAAAAATGAGGTGTAGAAAACGGGAATAACGATAAAAAGGGTACTGGAAGTTGAATTTCAATAATGGATTATCTAATTCAAGCCGGAAGTGATTATCTGATGACATCAGAAGTAACAATCTTCTTACACCGGAAGTGGCAGTCTGTTGATAACCGCACTTACGATCAGATGAGAACTGGAAGCTAGAAAGAACAGTCTCTAATTACATTCGGATTGTGGATCTGTAAATGCCTGGAAGTAACAATATATAAGAATTAACAATCCACTAAGGACCGGATTCAGCAATCTATTCAGGAGCGGAGATAAAAAAGAAATATTTTTAAAAAATAAAATCTTTTACACACTTTTCATAATGTGGGACCCCGACAATTTGCATCAGCTATTTTATAGCATAATGCATGATTTAAAAATACACCCTCAGAACATGACCGCTGTTGAGCTAGCGACGACAACAGCTCGGGTCTTGTATTTGCACTACAAACGAAATCCCGAATTCGTAAAAAACAGCACCAGGTTATCTTTACTGATGTGTTTTTTCCTTCTTTTTTACATCATCTACTACAAGATGACGAAGCTCAGAGTCCCATGCAAGAGGCGCCTGAAGCATCTCATACTGGGCCGGACGCCGTCCCATTTTGTGGCCCAGAACGGCTACGTCGTGCTGGATGACGTCTTACGTCAGTACGAACACGTCCGGGACGTCCTCGGTAACACGCCTTTGCATTTGTGTGCCCAAAGCGGCCATGTTGAAATCGGCGCGATCTTCGTCAAAAACGGTGCGGAAATCAACGCCAAGAGTGGTATTTTTAGACACGGGAAAACCCCTTTGCAGATCGCAGCTGAAAATGGTAACGCGGAGTTCGTGCGGATGTTGATTGCAAGTGGGGCGTCTGTGGATGTGCAGGGCTTGGATAAGAAGACGGCTTTACATTTAGCATCAGAGAAGGGGTGTGGTAGAGTGGTAGACGCGCTGCTAGAAGCCAGGGCTTGCGTGAAGTTAAAGGACTCTATGGGGAGAACGGCTTTACACTACAGCGCAGAGAAGGGTCATGGAGACATTCTACGGGCGCTGTTGGACGCAGGGGCGTCGCCAAATATCCGCGACAGTGATGGTAAAACAGCTTTACACTACGCTGCCATCAATGGACACAATGAGACAGTTTTAGTTCTGGTAAAGGTTACAGATTTTATCGACACCGGAGACAACAGCGACAAAACAGCTTTACACTCCAGCTCCCAGAGAGGTCACACGGAAGTCGTGAAGACGTTACTGGAAGCCGGAGCCGGCGTTGACGTCAGGGACGTGCTCGGGAAAACCCCGCTCCACTACAGCGCCGGGTCCAACGCCGTTGACGTCATGAGATTGCTCCTGCCGAGAGTGGGTGACGTTGACGTCACGGACAACTGTGGCGTCACGCCCCTGGATGAGGCGCGGAAACAAAATCACGATGACGCAGTGGCTGTGCTTAGGGGTCGCGGGGCGAAAGGGTCATGTGACAATCAAGGTGGAAAGAAAACATCTATCGGTGCTTTCAAGTGTCGATGGAAATTTCCGAAAATTTTTATACTGAGAAATTATCCAGGTAAGATATATATATATATATATATATATATATATATATATATATATATATATATATATATATATATATATATATATATATATATATATATATATATATATATATATATATATATATATATGTGTGTGTGTGTGTGTGTGTGTGTATAATATATATATATATATATATATATATATATATATATATATATATATATATATATATATATATATATATATATATATATATATATATATATATATATATAATATATTATATATATATATATATATATATATATATATATATATATATATATATATATATATATATATATATATATATACAGAGAGAGAGAGAGAGAGAGAGAGAGAGAGAGAGAGAGAGGGGGGAAGAGAAACAGTAGATTGATTTGCTTTGCCCTTTGTAAAAATGGCGTTGTGTATTCAAGGAAAAGGAAATTCCAAATAGTATACATAATTTGTAATAAATATTATTATGGCAAAATAATTACATAAGTAAATAAAAACACTTTGGGATACAAATCGGAACCTTTATCTAATAGAAATACAGGCATATAACTAGAGGTTGAGTGGGGTATTCCTTAAATCAAATTGTATTCATTCAAAGTTTTATATTGTTTATGTGAAATATTTCAGAATTTCGTATTAAAAGATCGACAGAATCCAAATGGAAAATCCCGAACCTGTTCCCAACAAAAAAATCTTCTACAACCAAAACACACAAGACACAACCTAAATCGTCATCAGGCCGCTGCCCTAAACTCCCATGTCGTCTACCTTTGAATGATAACAGTACTGTAATCCCTCTGGGGCTCGACTCACCGTTTTCTTTCTATGGCGATGAATCTCCGCATTCGACTCCATTTTATCATGACAGTGCCCGCTGTTCCAGATTGGATAAAGACAACGTCTTTCTCTCAATGCCCTTTGACACGGGCACTTCTGCCTATTTCGACACGGGTACAAGAACACCCGTAGATGACGGAGGCTTGTTGTTATGTGACCTTCATACAAGCAGTGAAGTTGAAGTCATCGGTGGTAATACCATGATTGGTTCAAGCCAGATTAGACCTATAAATACAAGCCGATCAGGACCGTCGGGCAAACGCCAGAAGAGACGCATTAAAACTAGACATTCTAAATCCACTAAAAAATGCCAGTCACCACCTCTTGATGAAACTGTTCTGAATATCACTGACCACGGACCAATCTCGATGAAGTATGATCATTCAAGCGTAGCAGATGTGCAACACCACGACAACAACTGTCCAGCAACACTTCCAGATACAGCAGTTACAAATTACCAGAACAAAATCTCAACAACGTCAAATATGGCGATGTATGTTCAAGGGACTGATAAAACAGGGCATAGAATTGACAGCATAGGACAACGAGAAACAGGAGTTCCTGCAGGTAGCACAGGTGCACAAGTTTCAGGACAGGTAGTGGCAGGAGATGTCCTGGACGGGGTAGTCAAGGGAAACAACCAAGTTACATGCCCAATGGAAGGAGAAGATGGATCCACGGAATGTGGTGAAACATGGAGGAAAGAAAACACAAGAGAATTTTCTTCAGGTAATGAATTTTATTTTTTATGATGTTTTTAATGAGCTTTCATCATTCTGTTCCCAGTCATGTATCTGGCGTGGTCTAGCGGTAGAGAGCTTGACTGCTAACCCGAAAGTCTCGAGTTCGAATCCGGGTTCAAGTCCAGTCAGCTCTGATGGGTATCTAACTCATTTTAGGATAACCAAAGACACTGGGCATATTGCTGATTACACTATCCCCTCATATGACCGTTTCGTTGAAACAGAAGAACACTACTTCATCTGCCCCACAAACATAACTCTAAGATTAATTCTGATCAAAATTCTTGGAAGCCGTGGTCGAATGGTAGGCAGTTTGGCTACTTGCTCGAAGTTCTCGAGTTCGGATCTCGGTCCTGAATCGGGACTGTAGGCCTTCCCTGAATCCACCCAGCTTTGATGGGTACCTGACTCACGTTTGGGAAAGTAATGGCGGCTGAGCATAGTGCTGATCTCACCCTTCCTTCAAATGCCAAGGTCAAGAAATGGATGAACATATGGATCTTTATTTCTGAAAGTGGAGCTTTACATTTTTTACACTTTGTCTAGAATAGCAAAGCTATGCTTTTGTGCTATCACGACCATAAAAATTAGGTTAAACATAATTCTGACCCCAATCTTGACACTAAATTGTACGGAGGCATTATAAATTCCTCCGATTACTAAATAAATGCATTAACATAATTAATTTTGGAATACCGTAGCATCTTTGTTTTCCTAATTTTGATATTGCAATTTTATTTTCAAACTTAACCCAGCTGATCAGGACTGTCTCTGTTATGGTAACCATCTTGAGAATCAGCAGTTCAAAGTTCAGAGGTCACCAAATAGATTCGTTTTGTACAAGTTCCGGTTAAGACAACGAAGGAGATCTGTGTATAAGAGCAGTTTGGCCAGATCAATTGACAACCAAATGGCCAAGTAGGTTGAATTATTAAATAGACTTTTTAAAAAATGTATTAATAATTTAAACATAGACGTAGACGTAGACGTAGACGTAGACACAGACACAGACACAGACATAGACACAGACATAGACATAGACATAGACATAGACATGGACATGGACATGGACATGGACATGGACATAGACATACTTAGACTTAGACTTAGGCTTAGGCTTACTTAAGTATAGATTTACATATCCTAATATATAATGGCCCCCGTGCGCACTTCTCTCTCTCTCTCTCTCTCTCTCTCTCTCTCTCTCTCTCTCTCTCTCTCTGTCTGTCCGCAAAATATTTTCGCCGGACATCACATCAGAAACTGCAGCGATATATGAAGAACTTTATACGGACTTTTGTTGAAAATAATATGTTAGCTGTTTTAAAGGTATAACCACAATTTTATTTAAAGATGAAAAATAAAAAATAAAGGCGTATTCTAATGTAGAAAAACAATTTTAATAATGCAACCGGAAAAGTGTTTAAACTTGGGACAAGAGCGCATTTAACAATGACGACGCTTATTGTTTACACTAAAAAAAAGAGCACGAAACTGATGACGTCATCTTCCGAGTTTAGAATAAAAAGAAATGTACTATTTCATTCAAATATTATTTAGATCTACGTACGCTATAAAATTTATACAATACAATTTTGCTCGGGCTAAACTTTAAAAAAAATTTCTATTAGGATTCTAAATCTAGATATTCTAGATCTATATATTCTTGATCTAGATCTAGATTACCTAGATCTACGGAAAAACTAGACTTACACAGATGTAGACCCTACCTAGATCTAGAACCTATTCAAATAATACATTTCTATACTAAAGTATTTCAGCCTTTAATTACTTTATTGAAATCTTTGTTTATCTATTCAATTTTCTAATCTCTATAATATATAAAGCAAAGTTGTCGGGTGCCCGATAGGGCACTTCCCGGCGCCGCAGGCGCTTCAAATTTGGCAGGATCTTGCCTTGGGGCGACAGAACACGGGGGCCGGTTGGCCGAAAAGTCTACGATGAGGGGGTCAAAACTGACCTCGACTGACCGGCGCCTTATATGAGCTATAAATCGAAAAAAAATGTCCACGTAGGAACCTCTTCATAACTCCTGAGGTCGTAGACCGACCCTCGGGCGAATTAATTAAGCATTCAAATTCTCAATGTTTTCGAAAGCCTAAGCGAAGCTGGGCAGCATGCCTAGTATAGGTATAGATATATATGCAATGATTGATAATCGAAAATCTTCCTTATGGGCAGAGCTTAAATTACAAATATAGTTTGTTTTTACACTATGATGATATTTTGACAAAGATTTAATTTACCACATATCTCCTTATTCTTATGTAGCAAATGTGGTTTTATTTATGGTAGTACGACCATCGAGGTAATTAAGCCCATAAATATGTTATGTCAGTAAACTTTAAATGTGTTACTTTAACAGTTTTTTATTTACTTCAGTAATTTCAGGTTTACTAAAAGAGGTAGGATCCTTTGTCGTAGCAAGTTGCGCAACGAGGAAAACGCTTTGAGAAATAATATACCCTCTGGTAACGCTAAAACCGGCGGATGTAAACTGGTAGATGGTTGCTCAGCTGGTTATTTAAAAACTAACACAAGATTAACCAGGAAACAACTCACAGCAAACAAACAAGAACTACACAATCAAAACACTGACAAGAAAACTATAAACAAAACAAAACAAAAGGACACGGAGAATCAGAAAAAAAATTCAACCACAGCAGACTCAATGAATGTGGGCTATTTTGGGTTTGTTAAAGAAAACAAACCAACCAGAACGGGTTCCTTGACCGATACAGACGGCTGCATTCCGGTACTGGCTGTGCAGAATTTGATTGAGTGTTGTCTAAGTACCGCGACAAACAAGAAAACTGGGAAACAAAAAGCCAGTAGGATTGGGAAGAATATTGTGTGAGTTTAATTATGTGTTAAGCTGACACTTTTATAAATTATATGTTTATATGTGTGTATGCATAGAGGGTATGATGTAAACGAATGATAGAGAGTTTGACTGCTTACCCGAAAGATTCGAGATCGAATTCAAAGCTCGAGTAATACCACGTCACAGAGTCCACCCAGCTCTTATGGGTACCTGACTTACGTTGGATAAAGTAAAGGTGGCTGGGTAGCCGATAATTCTACCACACTATCCCTTCATATGCTGAGGTTAATGATAAAAATTATCTCTACTTTCCCAGCCCCCATATTGCATAAGGTCGGTATGCATGTATTTATGTATGTACATATTTATATATATAGATAGATTGATATATATAGATAGATATAGATAGATATAGATTGATATATATATATATATATATATATATATATATATATATATATATATATATATATATATATATATATATATATATATATAGATATAGATATAGATATAGATATAGATATAGATATAGATAGATAGATCTATAAAATCATCATTTGATATGCGATTATGTTTTTGTATGTATATGTAGAGCCATATTTAAATAGTTTTATTTATTTTTTTCAGAACTTTTCAACTAAAATACTCCCCAAACATCATACACCATTGCAATGAGTTGCATGTCGAGAATGTGAAATACCTGGCTACTGACAGCAATCAGAACATCTTCATTGGGCACGTCTAGACTCAAATTATTGACACCCCTCTAGTGACACATAAAAGGTGACATCTGCATTGGGCACGTCTCGAGTCAGATTGATGACACCATTTTAGTGACACCTGTATGGTGACATCTTCATTTGGCATGCCTACCGTCAGATAAGTGACACCACTTTAGTGACATCTGACATATGCACTGTTGACATCCTCATCGGTCTCCCTGGGATTACAATGTGAAATCAATAAACTCTGTTATTTGTTTTGATATTTTTATTTAAATTTTCAATAATGTACACCTTTGCATTTTAATCCGTATTGTTATACTATTGTGTTTGTTTAATGTAAATTGTTATGTTATTGCAGCCGGTCCAAATGTTTATTTAAGTACAGATATAACAAGTGTGATAACACGGAGGCCTTAAATATTATTATATTGTTATAAACTAGGGCATTCTTAATATATTTTTTTTTTCTATATTTCAACCAGTCACTGCATTTTATTAAAGGATTGGCACTTGTAAGAGATCTGTGTTTTTATCTATATTTAGATAGACTTCCACATTTACACTGTAAAGCTTTTATACTTAACTAATGAAAGACAACAATGGCACCTTATGTCAAAACAAAGTACGACAAGATTTTAGGTATTTTAAAAAAATAGCCAGTTATCTCTCTTACAATATATGTACTTAAAATAATTATACGATTACTATTTTAATAATCTAGATGTTATATATATATATATATATATATATATATATATATATATATATATATATATATATATATATATATATTTATATATATATTTATTTATATAGTATATAATTATTTAATTCTATATTGTATGTATTGTATAAATGAAATATGTATTGTACAAAATATAAATAATAGTTTTGTATATATGTATATATATGTATATATATATATATATATATATATATATATATATATATATATATATATATATATATATATATATATATACATATTGAATACATTGTGCATTTAACAATTTACTTATTTTAAAAAAGACTATGTCTAAGGGGTACTGCATAAATCTCCATCAAAATTGGTGTTTGAACATTTCTTTGAAATGGAAATTTAAAAAAAAATGAGTGTATCATCAACCTCAAATTTACTTACTTTTATTCTTATATATCTACATCATATTCAATTATAGACCAACATCATGTTGTTTGTCTTGAATCTAATTAAAATAGGTGTAATACAGGTAGTGTTGATGTTTTCGTTCCAACTGTCCTGTCGGTGACATTGTTTAGGTACGTTTGTTTATCATGTATTTGTGTGGTTAAATAAACAATGCTGGTCCGTGGAGAGACTTATATGACGACAGTGAAAGTTAGACTAGCTAATATAAAGAACTCATGTTGGAAAGGTAAATCTGCACAGCTAGGTCCATAAACTTTTGTTCAGAGAGTACAATATTATCTTTGTTGTTTTTAATAACAGGTTTTTGTATTCGAAGTACATATGTGATTAAAATATGGTAAGACGACCAAGTAAACGCATGTAAATGTCCATGTATGCATTAGAAGACAAAGCAATGCACTTCTTACAAACATAGCTACTGGATGCGGCGTGATGACAGGGAAAGGGGATAAAAAAATACATAAACATTTTGTCAATGTCACAAATAGTTAAAACTTTAGAAGATATACAGAATATATATATATATATATATATATATATATATATATATATATATATATATATATATATATATATATATATATATAGGCCTATATATATATATGATGTGTAGATATATAATATATAGATAGATATAGATATATACGGAGCAAAAATAATGCAGTCACTTTAAAACATCTGGAACCGTTTACTAAATATCTATTTAAATAACCAATAATATATCATATTTTTTATAAGTGTTTTAGAATATACATAAACCTACACAAACTGTTGCATACTGTTGCCATCAACACCTTCCCCCCCCCCCCCCCCCCACGCCCTTATCAACCACCGCGCAAGGCTATCTGAATGATAAAACTTTAAAATTTAAATGTCCTCACTACACAATCACAACACGGAAAGTTTGAACCTACCGCACTCTCTGCCTAAGATATGTGTCTTGTTACGCTTCACTTCGCCAAAACCGGAAAGCTAATACAGTCTTGCATCATAGCCCATTACTCAAAAGCCTATCTATTGTCCATATTTTTATCTATTCTACGAAACTGTTTTTCGTTTCCCACTAATATATACTAGACTCTAGTTACATACGTGCGTAAATCTGTAGTTATTTGAAGATATTTTTTTTCTGATAGGGACATAATATGTAGATTCTCTATCCGCTTCAAGGTTTTCTTGAATTACATCTGTACCCGCCAAGTCAGAAACTTAGCAATGGATCGAAAGGGGATTTTAAATGTGTTTGTATCAACTATATTTTTCTTTGTAGTCGAAGCAGGTAAGTGTATTCTAACATGGTTAAGTAAAATATGATATATAATGCGTAGTTTGGGACGGCGCGGCCTTGCGGTAGAGCACTAGAATGCTCACCGGAATTCTAGAGTTTTCGAATCCGCGTCGAAGACAGTAGAACGTCCCTGAGTTCACCCAGCTCTAATGGGTACCTAACTCGCGTTGGGAAAAATTAAGGCGGCTGAGCATAGTGCTGACCACACTATCTCTTCATATTCGAGATAACGGAAACAGATGAACTCTACTCCATCTGCCCCATATGTCTAGAGTACGAACTAGAAAAGATGATGATAATGCGTTGTAAATTGAAACTTTATGTACAGATTTATTACAACTAAAACTTTTTACGCTGTTATTTTAAAATCTTTCCAATTTGGCTCAACTCGCTGTCATATTTCTAGTAAATACGATATAAACAATAGACCAATAAAAATATTTATAGAATCAAGAAATAAGTTCCAACCCCAATAGTAGATTAAGGGGTCGTCCATAAATAACGTCACACTCGTAGGGGGGGGGGGGGAGGGGGTCCGTAATTTTGTGACGGTGTGTGATGAGGGGGAGGGGGGGGGGGTTCAGATGGTGCGACTTCACACTTTTGCATTATAAAAAAAGCAATTTTAAAAAACAAATTATTTCGCGTTTTAGAAAACTGTTTTAATAAATTGTAATAGGAATTGATTGAGTTCAGACAATATTTTAGACAAATTTCGATGTTTTAAAAAAAAAAATTCAACAGCAATTTTGAGGGGGGTGGGGTTGTAGGCTGGGATGTAACGTTATTTTAGGAGGGGGGGTCTGGCTTTTTGTGATGACGTGTGACAGAGGTGAGGGGGGAGGTAAAAATCGTCAAAAAAGCGTGACGTCATTTATGGATGACCCCTAACTAGAAAGAATATATTATTCCAGCGTCCCCAACGTTGGCAGATCTCCAAGCTCTACAGTGTAGTTCAGACAGACCATTCAAGTGTCTGCCTTATGGAGTCTGCTACAACGCTGACCAGTTCTGTCATGCTGGAGCTGTCGAGTCGTGTTTCCATGGTAACATGACAGATGACCAGCTGGAGAACTGGTGCAAGACCACTGGTCAGTTCAGACCCGAGTTGATGAGAGACCCCAAGCTCTGTGCTCTCTAATGCATCCTGGCCATTGGGTGCTGTCTGACCATTGGGTGCTGTCTGAACATTGGTGGTGCCTGGCCAGCTAATGCATCCTGGCCATTGGGTGCTGTCTGACCATTGGGTGCTGTCTGAACATTGGTGGTGCCTGGCCAGCTAATGCATCCTGGCCATTGGGTGCTGTCTGACCATTGGGTGCTGTCTGAACATTGGTGGTGCCTGGCCAGCTAATGCATCCTGGCCATTGGGTGCTGTCTGACCATTGGTGGTGCCTGACTGTGATGGTACGAAAGAAATCTTTGTTTGAGGTTCTTCTTGTTGCACCAGTTGTGAGGGTGGGGATTTTTAAAAGGCGTAACGAATGAATCCAATAACACACAGTTCAAGTTCTAAATACAAAGTTCTTTATTAAAATTATAAATCAATTTCCTACCTAACTAGACTGTTGAATACTATCTACTACAACTACTTTTACTAACTCTACTAACACGCCCTTCCATAACCAATCCTACCACTATCTACATTCTAACTGTTCTCTACATAATTACGTCTGCTCCATTCTACAACCTAACACCTTCTGCCCTCGCTAGCTAATCATCATCTCTCGGCCTAACAGTGGCCCACGCTTCAGTGGTCAGCTGACCGTCCCACGTGACCGGTCAGTTCACGTATTTTTATTGGTCTCTCTCTCTGACTAGTCTGACCAACTTGCTATAGCCTGCTTGTGCTATCTACCTGAGCTCGACGCAACCTTGCGTCATCACACTGACCATTGGGTGGTGTTTGGTGATTTAAGATGCCTTTATGTGTTATGCTTGTATCGTCAGTATGGCCCGGGCGAAGCTGTATCATTTCAGTTGTATTTCCGTCTGGTGGATTTGCTTTATGGTTTTCACCTAAAAATATGTATTTATATATATAGCCTATATAACTTACATTCGTTATTCGTATTTCCTAAATTTTTTATATTAATATATCATTCGAAAAAATACAATTACTCATCTATAACTAAACAAACAGAGATTAACTGAAGACAAGGTAAAACAATCAAGATGGTACCTGGTGCTAAATTATCGTTTGATTTCTCCTTACAACATGATCTCCGTATTAGAAAGCAGCCTAAACCAAAAATAAAGACGACTGCAATCCCTAGAGGAACACTTACTCCGATGCTTACATCACGCCAGTATTTTCCTGCATGACCTGATAATGAGAGAATGAAAGGGTAAATAATTTTAACAGTAATCTTCAAGAAGTTGGTTGCAGAATAAAGTACGATTTACCTTTACATTTAGATCGCAACTAAAAATAAACAAATTACCTGAATCTAATAACAATGGAAATTTCTCCTGACAAGGAAACTTGCAGGCTGGGGGGGGGGGGATAAACCCAGTGATTATACGACAAATAAAAAAAAATTAATGTACAAAAAGAAAATAATTGAGTTCATTAAGGGTGAAGTACTTTTTACATTCTTACGGCACTGATTTAATTTTTCTTCCAGTATGAATAAATCCACAACTTTATAAAAACAACTTTAGCCTAATAGGAACAACAAGAAGAAATCACAAAATATTGTTTAGATAATCGGTGAAAGATAAACTTTAAAAGTGCTTGAGAATTAATAATGTAAGAGGATAATGTATTATTGTATAAAATTTCCCCTTTTCTAAAACGATTTCAAATGACGTCAAGCTTTTTTCTTCCTTTTATTGTACTACGCACCGCACAATCTCAACAAAAAAAATTCATAAAAAACGTTTTAATTACAAGCTTTTATGTAATGATGCACTAAAAAGTAGAAAATAAATTATAGACTACTATTTAAATAACTATAAAGAAAAGCGTGGGTCACTTTAGTATCTATTGGATACCTTTACTAATGTTAAGGAAGACACCCACGCTTTTCTTTATAGTTATTTAAATAGTAGTCTATAATTTATTTTCTACTTTTTAGTGCATCATTACATAAAAGCTTGTAATTAAAACGTTTTTTATGAATTTTTTTTCCAGTACTTTACATGTTTTATTTACAATAGAGTTACATGACTAAAAACCATTGCGCGCCTACTGAACATCACGTTCAGTAGGCGCGCAATGGTTTTTGAACGCAGCCATTACGTGATGGCGCAGCTATTGAAGGTGATGACGCGTGTGGTGTGGTTGGCTAGACATGCCTACTAATTCGGTCCAAATTTTTATTAATTCATAAAAAATTAATTAGGCATCCAATTAAGTCAAATTTAGTTTCAGATTGCATTGTCTTCATGTCTTGACCCACGTGCCAACTGTGAATCGTATCGGTCAAGTAGAACTGTCCGAATTTTCACTCCTGCGTTTCCGTCTAGACAGACAGACAGAGGAAGTGAGTTAAATAAAAGCTTGTAAAAAGCCAGACACCTCCAAACTTCTCTACAAAGACTCCACACGCTAGCTTTCACTCGCACCCACGTCTTTGATTTTAAAAAAAACTGTTATTTGACATCGCCCTATTTTTCTAAAAATAACTATTTTAGAAAAGCAAAACATTAGATATTATGATCCTACTGTGTTAATGTGCAGAAAACATCTTCGATTCTTATTTAATTCAGACCATTTTAGAAAATCAGGGTGTAAGTAGTTAAATTAATTTTGTTGCACTACACTTTGAAAATTTGATAAAATCGGTTTAAAAAAATTATGCTATTTTTCATACTTTTAAATTGAACTCAGACGTTACACCCAGGGGCGTAGCGAGGGGGGGGGGGGGTGGGCGGGGGGTGCGGATCGCACCGGGTGACACCATTGAGGCGGGTGATACCAAGGCAAAAAATAGCAAAATATATAGAGAAAAACTTGAGGGGGGGTGCAAATCGAAAGTTTGAAGGGGGGGGGGGGTGCAAATCGAAAACTTGAAAGTTTGTCCCCGGGAAGGGTCGCAACGCCTCTGGGGGGGTGACGCCATTAAGTGCCGCACTGGGTGACACCCAACCTCGCTACGCCACTGGTTACACCTTCTGTACATCTCCCTCCCCCTAACGTCAGAATAGTCCTCATGACCGCTTTCCTCTCGAGATTATGACAGTATTTATGAACTTATTTTATAGATTTTATCGAATAACTTCACTTGTCTAGTTTGCTAGATTGTACAGAGTTAAAAAACCTAACCAGCAACTGACCGTTGTAGAGATTGAGTAAGGGAAACCATTTAAAACCATGTAAAATCGACTTTAAAATTCTCTCTATAAGGGACACATAAAAACCAGCAACTGACCGTTGGAGAGATTGAGTGAATGAAACCATATAAAAACTTATAAATTCGACTTTAAACTTCCCACTATAATAGACACATAAAAACCAGCAACTGACCGTTGGAGAGATTGAGTGAATGAAACCTTATAAAAACTTATAAATTCGACTTAAAACTTCCCACTATAATAGACACATAAAAACCAGCAACTGACCGTTGGAGAGATTGAGTGAGGGGAACCGTGCCTGGCAAGAGAGAGCACAGAGCTTGGGGTCTCTCATCAACTCGGGTCTGAACTGACCAGTGGTCTTGCACCAGTTCTCCAGCTGGTCAGTGGTGACGTTCTTAGGGAAACACGACTCGACAGTTCCAGCATGGCAGAACTGGTCAGCGTTGTAGCAGACTCCATAAGGCAGACACTTGAATGGTTTGTCTGAACTACATTCTCTTTCTGTTATTTCCTTCAAAGTGGGCTCCTCTAGAATCAGAAAATATTTTTTAAAAACCTCTGTTCTGCTCTCAATTATTTTTGCGACCTTTCGATACAATTAACCGATTATTAAATTTGCGTACATACCCACACACTCGTGCTATTTTCTCAGACAAAAATTATAATCAATCATTTACGTTCAGTAAAGCCAAAATGTATTTACCGCTTGTAATGGTACAAACAAATTCTATATGGTTATTATGTTCTGTCATTGAAGTAAACACATATCTTTATCTTTGACTCGTTAAGATGTTGAAATATCAATATTTAATATTTTTATTTTAAAACAAAAACTAGAAAAGAATAAACATTTTATTTTATGTACTTGCTGTGACGCTGAGATTATGTAGTTTTAATTATATAAAATATTAGAAGTTGCCTTACGTGCTTCGATTAGGAAAAAGTAAACACTTGCAAGAAATAATATTACACTTTTTCTTTTATTGAGATGCATTTGAACTTTCCAAACTTTAACAATTAAAATGCACTTTTTTACGTTGATGAGCTTACATAATCTTTATCAAAAAGTTTCAAATGCATCTAGTTAAAATTCAGCTACACTTAATCTTATATAGGCCTACACCCACATAGGATATTCCTGTTCCATAAATAAATTAGTCAGCGTATTGATTTTGTAACGGTGTCTACTATGTTTCGTTCCAGACTAGGATTTATGGTGATGCATTGAAGCGTAAAATACACATTACAGCTTTACCGAATGTTACTTTTCCATTTTTACATAGAGCAGTGTCTATTTAATGATTGCTATTAATTCCATTATGAATAAAAAGAAATAGGTTCAGCTATTTAATTGTTAAGGTTGAATAATTCGTCTTACATTTACATTTTTTTTTACTCTACACTGGGCCTAATTATACTGTTAAATTCAAAACCGTTTTTTCGCGTTTATTTTTGTTTATTAAAACAAATATAAAAACCTTTTCAGCATTGGTCGCTAAATATGTAAGATACTTCATATATATATATATATATATATATATATATATATATATATATATATATATATATATATATATATATATATATAAAGATATATATACAGAGAGAGTAAATACTAAAGATTGTTTTTCAAGAAACAACGTGTTACTGTTCTATTTTTGTCACTGGAAAAACCTACATATTACCTATATATTACAGCACCGGCAAGAATAAAAAGATATTTATTACCTGTCTATTAAGTCAGATCAAATTAACCAGTCTTTTGTGCGCTGCTGCTACGGGGAACACTGGCAGTGTCAGGACTAAACCTTCCTGGTGAAACACGCGTTACATTGATTCATGCTAACGGATTTTGTGTTTTCGAACAGTTCATACGTTAAATCAAGAGTTATATACTTTATAACTAGGGTTTTTTTTTTCGTTTGTTTGTTTGTTTGTGAGTTCGTAACTTTACTTAACCCACCACTTCTAATTCAGCGATTTCGATTAATTTTTCCAGATAAAATCGTCTCCTGCGAAATGCAACAATATCTCATTTTTAAATCTACCTTTGGAATTATTATTAGACTAAATTATATTTAAAATTTAATGTAAAGATTTCTAAACCCAAAAAAATAATAGAGGCATTAAGAAGATTAATTACTAGCGATCAATTGATCGGTAAGCCTAAGGCGGTAAATTGATGGTCACAGATTGTTTATTTCTTGCCTGAGAGTCGACCCCGGACTAAGTTCAAGACAATCATTGGTTTTAGAGATCACACGCTTCAAATTGGTTTTAAAATATGTTTTTGGTGACTTCTCCAATAAGAACGAATTACTACAAAAAAAGGAAAAATTAAAAGTCCTCTATAATAATAAGATGTATTGGTTTTTTTTTAAACACCTGCTTTCATAACTAAAATAATTTGTTGCTTATGAAATCTCTTATATATTTTAGCTAACAACCCTTAAAAGTTTTTTTTTTAAATTTTTACTAAACAAAAATATACAAGAATGAACGGTTTCAAAAATTAATTGGTAAAACTAGACACTGTGTAGAGTAAAAAAAAAATTGGTAAATATAAGACGAATTATATATCGCAACCTTAACAACCTTAACCTTATTTCTGATTGAATTGAAAGCAATAATAAAATAGATATTCCTCTTCATAAAGTTTAATAATGGAAAAAAGAAATTGGTAAAGTTATAATGTCTATTTTACGCTTGAGTAATTCGGCTGCTGATCTAAAGATAAAAATAAAGTTACTAAATTAATACCATGACCATTGCTAATTTGGTCAGGGAATATCCTATATACATTTAGGTTCAGATGAATTTTAGCTAGACACCTTTCAAACTTTTTAAGCACATTTAATTATGTATTGAAAAATTCGAATGGATCTTATTTCAAAAAGTTGTGATATTTTTTCTTGAAACGTTGGCAATCTACAACATTCGATGCTTTAAAAACTACGTATGCTCAGTAGCCCATGCAAACCCATAGAAGTGGTCTACAATTCTTTTTTTTTCCTAGACGCAGTAATTTGAAAATAATATTATACCTATAGTGTTATTTTTAACGTCTTAACTTGACAAATGTACCGATAAGTATTTACTGTAATGACAGAACATAATACACTAGGCATGCTGCCCAGCTTCGCTTAGGCTTTCGAAAACATTGAGAATTTGTTTGCTTAATTAATTCGCCCGAAGGTCGGTCTACGACCTCAAGAGTTATGAAGAGGTTCCTCCGTGGACATTTTTTTTCGATTTATAGCTCATATAAGGTACCGGTCAGTCGAGGTCAGTTTTGACCCCCACATCGTAGACTTTTCGGCCAACCGGCCCCCGTGTTCTGTCGCACCAAGGCAAGATCATGCCAAATTTGAAGCGCCTGCGGCGCCGGGAAGTGCCCTATCGGACACCCGACAATCTAGATCTAGAGCTAGATTCCTAAAAGAATTTTTTTTTTAAGTTTAGCCCGAGCATAATAAAAAATAATACATTAACCAAGTTGACTTGCTGTGTCTCGAACCCGCACCACCTGCGTGGTACACTAACATCTCCGCTATTTAGGCACCTTATAAAATACGGAGAATGAAACACGTATTTTAAAATCTTAACTTACGCGAATATGCCTATTCTTTCAAATTAATTTTTTATCCCAAATTAGCCAGTTCCAAACAAAGATTTTGTATAAAATAAATAAGTCTTGAAATAGTTTAGTCCTAATATAGAAATTTATTTTTGGAATTGATTTTAGAGAAGTTAGAGTCTAAATCTAGATCTTAGCGTCTACGTCTAGATCTAGATCTAGTTATTGCGTAGATTTAGATTTAGATTTAGTCTAGATCTAGAATCTCTAGATCTAGAATCCAAATAAATAAAATAAATTTTATGAGTTTAGGCCGGAAAAATTGTATTGTATACTTTTCATAGTGTACGTAGATCTAAATCAAATTTGAATGAAATAGTTCATTTCTTTTCATTCAAAACACAGCAGATTTTTTTTTTTTTTTTTTTTTTTTTTTTTTTTTTTTTTTTTTTTTTTTTTTTTTTTTTTTTTTTTTTTGCCTCAGACATGTAATTTACAGCGTCAGTTGTGTGTGTTCGCTTTAGTATTACAGTTTTCATCACCGGCTTGTGAGGACTGACACAGATTTACAATAGTAATATTTCTTTCTTACTTGTAGCCTACTTTCATTCATTTAAGAAGGTTTACTTATACATAGATCTAATACAAAACGTCTAAATATAAAGAAAAAATAAAAATTAAAAACCAACATGAAACTGAAAATGCAAATGTGTAATTAAATGATGATTCAAGGGATTTTTTTTCCATCAGCGTGGTGGGCTGAGGGGACGAGAAGGGGGGAGAGGGTTGAATTTTTTTTTTTTTTAAAAGTAGAGCTGAAATGAATTTGGGATTACAGAGAATTAAAATGATACAAATTTTAAGCAATCGGAAAAGTTATGTTATTACAATGAGACACGTAAAAGCAAACACTCTTCCCTTTCAAACATCTATATCTATACAGTCCTCAATTAGTTTTTTTTTTTCCTTTTTTTATTTTTTTTTTTTATTATTATTAATTCAATTGTTTTAAACCTTTAAATCAGTAATAATAATTTATTTGATAGATTTTACACAGCATCAAAGACATGAACATCAATTGCATATATAATAATCAAATGGAGAAAATAAAATGGCATAAGAACTAGACTAAAATAAGGTGTGCAAACTAGGTTTCTCTTGACTGCTTAGTTTACTGTGCTCTGTCCTTAGCTGAGGAGTCAAAAGTTCACATTGTAGACAGAAATAGAAACCACCGTGGGAGAAGTGTCTCTGTAATACACATTACTGATCTATCATTCCAAAACTTTCCATGACACAAAATTGACCCCTGGCAAAGAGGGCACGCCACCCTGAAAAATCCGCCAGTCTGGCTGAGTGGAGGGAAGTGTGTGTGTGTGGGGGGGGGGGGGGGAGGGTGAGGTGTGTATCTCTTTCTACCATTCAGGTTGTGCACTTTTAAAAACCTGGGAAACAGAAGACTGTTCTAATGTTAATTTACTTGGGGGCTGATCGAGTGATGTTTTGCTTGAGACTGTCGATATTAATTATGCATCTAGTTTATTTGCTTCTTCTGTAGTTCCAATTTTAGTTTCCTGTAAAAGTAGGATGTCAATATTGTGTTTATTTATTATGTTGTTTATATAATGTGTTTTGTCCCTAGCCCCCCTGATGTTCAATGTTGCCAGATTTAGCATGCATTATTTGGGGTTTTCTTTCGAACATCTGTTTCTGGAGGGCTGGATGGTGGTGGTCTTTTAATTCCAAACCTTCCAGCCGTTGGTTTGCTATCCCGTTGGGCCCTGGTCACGAACCTTTGAGGTGGCTTTACTGTAGGTAATTGATTTTTACTTGAACTGATTGCTTGACTATATGACAGTTGACCTGATACCTTTGTTGCTGACTTACTTTGTGAGCTTTTAATTTCCTTTAGCGGTTTCGTTATGTTTTCTGAACTAGAGTTATCTTGAAGAATATTAGTTATTGTTTCGTCGACAGCCTCCAAATTTTCGTGATTCCCATCTTTTTGAGACCCGGTTACTATGGAATTCCTGGTTGCTATTGTCTCCATGGCTTCGGCCTCTATGGTGGTTTCTGTTACGCTTTCGTTAACTTGCTGCGGTGCTGCAGTAGTATGATGTGCTTCAGTTTGGCCATCTACTTCAAAGGCATCTTGTACCTCTCTGTGCCTTGCTTCTCTAAGCATTTCATTTTGTCTTTCTCCGTCAACATCATAACTGTCCCAATGCTTTAAGAAATTTCTATTGTTACTTAGATGCTCCCTAACTTCTTCTTTATCATTTGCATCCCAAGGCTCAATTGCCCTGTACTGTCCATCTACTAGCTGGACGCCGTCAAGAGCGCGAGTCCTCAAATGCTCACACATTTTAGGCAGGTGCCTGTCTGTGTTGCAATGGCAACATTGCATCCTCCTCCCATTGAGGATTATAAGGACTCTGCTCTCC